ATCATAAGAGGTCAAGCAGGCCTCTGTCCAAGTGATAAAAAGTTCTTCTATGCACCAACTGACAGGACAAAGAGCCAAGGTGAGGAATGGTGACATCCTGCCATAAACTATGTTACAGGAGGGATGTGGAAATTATGTAAGGCAAAAATAGGGGCCTCCTGTGTCATATTGGGTCTCTGCTAGCCTTGTGCAACAGCTTGAAGACCCCAGCTCTGATGTTCATTGGAATTCCCATGATGATGCTCTCAGATACACCTGGAACCAATCAGAACCAAGGTCAGAGAGATGGATTCATTTCTTTTCCTCATGTGGTCTCTACAACTTCTGAAAAGTCACTGAATGTCACAGCCATCTTGTATAGCTGATGCAGTTGAGGATGTGGTCCTTTCTGACTAAGGTCAGCACTGCTCATGCTTTGAGAGCCCTGGTGACCTTGACTAGACCCATGTCTCTAAGTACTCCTGAGTGATAGTTGGGTGACATTGTAGCAGCTCTACTTTTTGTGGGAACAATACATGGGGCGCTAGGGTGAGCCCACAGTGTACAAAGGCTGTTACATCAGCTGTCAGCCTGACCCTGATCAAAAAGGCCCAGCCTGTGATTTCTCAATGAAATCAGAGGATCTAAGAGGTAACACACTTCAGTTAAGCTCACAGCTTCAGGTTGGTTCTACTCCAAGTCCCCTTCTGCCAAATGCTGGCTGCTTAGCCTGGGCCAATTCCACCTTTCCTCCTTCCCCAATAGTGTCCCTGGCTCTGCCAGCAATGGTACCCAGACCCTGGCCACCCAGAGCAGGAGGATGCCTTAGATACTGTAAAAACTGCCCAGGATCTGGCCTGGCATAAACATCCTAGACATCCAAGAAAAGGAGACTGCATTCTCTAGAATCTTTCCCTATGCTTAATTCAGACATTAGTGCTGGTCAGACTGTGAGTACTCAGATAATAATTGGATGTTGTGAACCCTGAGCTGTCGCCAGGGTGGATATATTCCCACTCACCAGGAGTAACTGCCTGGCCAGCACAAGGCCCCTGGTGACCAATCTTCTTCTGGGAGGGTACTTGGGGTGCTGAGCAGGAGTGCATGTGGGCTGGTCCACTTGAGAATATATTTAGAGACCTATCATAGCTGCCAGCCAAGTGGTGCCCACAAAGTCAGGCTCCAGCTGAGCTCTGTGGCCAGATGTTTACTGGGATTGTAGGGACCACCTTGTCCACCCACATCCCAACTTATCACGTGTCTATACACAGAGCTCCCTCTGACCCAAGGCTCCATTGACTCTGACTCCGAAGGGTAATAGACCTCAATTGGTGTCATGTTCCAGAAATGTGAGAAAGGGGGCCAGTGTGAAAACCAAAAGGATCACAGATGATAAGAGGGCTGAGAAAAAAATCAGAGAAACATCACCCTTTACAATAGCCACAAACAACCTAAAATATCTTGGGGGAACACTAACCAAAAAAGTGAAAGACCTGTATAGCAAGAACTTTGAGTCTTTAAAGAAAGAAATTAAAGAAGATACCAGAAAATGGAAAGATCTCCCATGCTCTTGGATAGGTAGGATCCACATAGTAAAAAATGGTAATTTTGCCAAAAGCAATCTATTGATTCAATGCAATCCCCATCAAAATACTGGCACAATTCCTCACAGACCTTGAAAGAACAATATTCAACTTTATATGGAAAAACAAAAGACCCAGGATAGCCAAAACAACCCTGTACAATAAAGGAACTTCCAGAGGCAGCAAAATCCCTGACTTCAAGCTCTATTATAGAGCTATAGTCCCGAAAACAGCTTGGTACTGGAACAAAAATAGACAGGTAGACCAATGGAATTGAATTGAAAACCTTGATACTAACCCACATATCTACGAACACCAAATTTTTCACAAAGAAGCTAAAGATACACAATGGAATAAAGAAAGTATCTTCAATAAATGGTGCTGGCATAACTGGATGCTGGCATATAAAAGACTGCAGATAGATCCATGTCTATTGCCATGCACAAAACTTAAGTCCAAATAGATCAAAGACCTCAACATAAATCCAGCCACAATGAACCTCTTAGAAGAGAATGTGGGAAGTACCCTTGATCTAATTGGTAATGGAGACAGCTTCCTGAACATTATACCTGTAGCACAGACACTGGGATCAACAATTAATAAATGGGACCCCCTGAAACTGAAAAGCTTCTGTAAGACAAAGGACACAGCCAAGAAGACAAAACAGCAGCCTACAGACTGGGAAAAGATATTCACCAACCCCACATCTGACAGAGGGCTGATCTGAAAAATTTACAAAGAACTAACTCAAGAAGCTAGTTTCTCAAACACCTAATAATCCAATTAAAAAGTGGGGAACAGAACTAAATAGAGAAGTCTCAATAGAGGAGTCTAAAATGGCTGATAGACACTTAAGAAAGTGCTCAACATCATTAGCCATCAGGGAAATGCAAATGAAAACAACTCTGAGATATCATCTTACTCCAGTCAGAATGGTCAAAAACAAAAACACCAATGATAACTTATACTGGAGAGGATACAGAGAAAGGGGAACACTCCTCAACGGCTGGTGGGAGTGCAAACTTGTACAGCGACTTTGGAAATCAGTATGGCGACTCCTCAGGAAAATGGGAACCAGTCTACCACAAGATCCAACAATTCCACTCTTAGGCATATACCCAAAAGAAGCACATTCATACAACAAGGACATCTGTTGAATGATGTTCATAGCTACATTATTTGTAATAGCCAGAACCTGGAAGCACCCTAGATCCCCCTCAACAGAA